ACCATAACAAATCTTTTTGAAATGCTTTAAAATTAATTTTACTCTTCTGCATCAACAAGCCGCCTTGAAATATCACTAACATCGATTTATGCTAACAAATATTCTTAGTTCCCTTTTATTTATGAATACATTATTTGCTTTTTCGTTTCTCCTTTGTAACTACGCACCATACTTACTACTAGAGATTTACCTGCTGGTCGAAACATTTTTACGCAGTAAAATCACCTCAAATTATTCTCACTTCAACTGCTCCGCAACCTAACAATGCGTTTGCTGACACTAATATGCCTACTTCATTTCATTATATTGTGAGTACGTTTTGTGAATGGTCTAATTATACATAAATCAAAATAGTCCGTGGGTTATCGATATTAACTATTCATTAACACTCACCCACACGAATAAAAGCAATGCGTTACAGTTTACGATTCCCAGAATTATAATTTGCGTTCACTTTTTTTGCAATGTCAATACTACGTACAATTTTTTTTGCTGAATTTTGATGGACGAAAATACTGTAAAATCTGTACCTGACGCTCCCAACCCATTCGAGTATTTCACACATCATAGATTTTCCCATACATTTGCTCTTAAAACTTGGAATGATATAGAAATGTTTTCGATATGCGTCTCTACTTCTGTTCATGAGGTTCACCGGCTGACGTGCCGGTCCCGATAAGTGTCCTACCATTACTGCCACGGTGCCGCGTCGTGTGATCAGGTATGGGCGAAGAGCAACGCTGTCAGATAGAGGTTACTACCGGGAGAGGGCAATGGACTAATTGTATGGGCCTGATTGACTGCCTCGATCCACTTAATTTCTCTGTTATACCAGTTCATAACTAACTTTCTCAGAGGGTCTAACTTGTGCTGAGTTAAACTACATGACGCCATTTTTTAAGCTAATATTCTATTACGATGATGCAAATAAAGACTCGACCACACCTCATCCTTTTGTCTGCTCTGAAAGTAGAGGTTGATGTTTATCTTTTGTCTATAAGCCCGAAGCTGATCTGACATTGGAATAAAGTACGTCATATTTTTCAGCTGGAAAGTCGTATCTATGTCAATTCATTATAAATACTTCTGTACGTATGTAGCAAGTGGCTAGACCCTTATATGGAGACTGAATAGACTTGATTTACAACAGCGCTGTTCTTGGACCTAACCCAATGACCCATTGAAGAGAGACTACTACGAAGGTAATTGGAGAAATTCAGTGGGTGAATGTTGAAACATTTTTTTTGTGGCGCTAAACAAACGCTATCGTTCAAATTCAAATGAATAAGCTAGAGGTACTATTCGGAAATTCGGTGGGAATTATAAAACCTTCCAAAAGTCGTTATTGTCCGTTTTCCGTACTCGGGTTCTTCTGGACTTTCCGCGATATTTCAGTCGTTATGACGGTGATTATGTTAGATAATATAATATCGTCTTTCAGGTAAGCAGTGTACCTCGGCTGATTCGTAAGTACATATCCATTCAAATATCCTCAAAGTAAAAATCTAGTCCCGGTTAAATTCGGTGAATGCGGATGTTAATTTAAATAATCTCTCCGCCAAATGATGTGCTTCTCAAAAATGTCCTTAACAGAGCCACTTTGTCCTCTACTAAAGTGTGTTTTAGTATCATCTTGTTAATTGATGTAATTCAAGTTCAATTTAAACACAAGAGCGAGTGCATACTTTTTCAGGTATGTTTATTATATACTACATTTTACTACTTTTTATTATCATTATTAGAAATAAAGATTTTCCTATGGAGAAATAAAAAGTAGCATAAAATCATATAATGAAAGCAAAGTTCTACGCTCTTCCAAAAAGGGTGTTTCCTGTTTAAGTTTTCATTCAATGACCACCAGCACGAAATTCAGAAAAATCTTTTTTCACACCTGAGTCTGTCAACAAGTCGACGTGATACAAAAAATATTGGTGTCTTCGTATCTCTCTTTGGGAAGAGTGCAACATGAACTTTTTCTTACCACTTGAAGAACCATATGCTGTATTTCGGCGTCTAAAAAAGGCCCCGAAAGATATTAGCTCCTAAGAGAGAGTGGCAGAACACAAAAAATTAATTTAGAAATCCACTTTGAAAATGGATATGTCTTTATGGCCTCTTTAATATCTAGTTTAATTGGGTATTTTCAGGAAGTGTTTAATGTCATCCACCCGGCGATTTTTAATCAATATATGTAAATGCATTATAACAATACATCTTGTGACAAATCCTGAAACCAAGTCAATTCATCGTTGGATGCAGGTCCTCTCGTGCCATAGCGTCAGTTCGTAATCCCGATACTTTACAATGTTAAGGAAAAAAGGGAAAGAGGGAAGGGACAGAGCAAGGTGGAAGACGTCCAGAAACCAGTCATTACCATTAAATTCTATATAATTATAAACGACGTCACTACTAACCAAGCGTCTTCCTGCTTCAACTGAAATTATTCACACAAGACATTGACCTATCAAGTCCAAGGGTAAAGTTCTTATATCCCCATATAATTTCACACATATCATGCTGGTTCTTTGTCCCCAAGTTACTTTTGCATGAATCACTAACTACCCTCCTTTGTCTGGCTAAATTATGTTCAAAAATACCTCTCTCGAAGCAAGATCCTTCTGATTCACATTACAAACAGAAAAAGGCTTTATATTCGCAGAAGTCTCGAAATAAACTTTCTATTTTAATATAACCTCTAGAAATTCAGGAATGCCGCACCTGTTCTTCGGCTTCTGCTGCAAAATAAATCGCAAGAGTTCGGTATGCGAATCGACAAATTTCCAAGAATGTTCAAAGGATAGATGTTTTTTTAAGAAGAACCAAGAGCTGTGCAAATTCTGCAGTGGTGGAAGGCAACTACTTAAAGATAAGCGTTCAATTTTTCTCTATAATGGCAGTGACTTATCGACAAGCATATTGAAATTTCTATACTAATTATACATAAAATTAAATTCGCTTCTAAACTTAAAAAACATCAACTGTCTCTGGTATACAGTGCTTTTCATAAGTCACTTATTTTTTGAATGGGTCACTTTAGCAAGTTAAAATTCGGAGTGATGAAACTGATGCATGAGCTGAATCGTAGCGTATGAATTTAAAGGCATTGAAACAGTTCTTAAATACAACGAGTACCTCTTTATGAAGCTCCCCGTGAACAGTTTATAACTCTAAGGCCCGTATCGTCAGTGGTCCCTACAATTGTAGGGCGCGTTTATAGCCTCCTTGATTGTCATAGTTTTCTACTTCTCCGTGTCAGCGCTCTATTTTGAGGTTATGTCACAAACATCTATTTGCATCAAATTGTGCTTGCTTTTGAGTTATATCATGTCTTATCAATCTGAAATTTCCTACAATTTGAAAAGAAAACATATCTTTACAATTGGAGAGCGCAATTGTGCTTGCTTTTGAGTTATATCATGTCTTATCAATCTGAAATTTCCTACAATTTGAAAAGAAAACATATCTTTACAATTGGAGAGCGCTGACGCTGACACAGGACAAGTGTAATCTAGATATTTTTGAAGGAGAGAAAGAAGTATGACAATCAAGGAGGCCATAAACGCGCCCTACAATTGTAGGGACGACTGACGATACGGGCCTAAAACATAACCTGACTTTGTTTCAGGCTAAGCTGTCAAAGTTGAGCGTTTTTCAACGTTAAATCGCCTACAGCTCAAAACGGTATATTATATCAACATTCTTGTTTTGGAAGGATTTATTCTAACATGTAATAAAATATGAATCATTCTCGAGAAGAGTCCACTGGAAAAAACTGTCATTTTTTAAACGAATTGTCCCATATTTTGTTACATACTCGGATAGACCCTTCTAAAAGAAGGATATTGATACGAACGCGTACAAGTCAGAATTTATTGACATGATACCTAGTTTTAATTAACTACTTTTTAATCTGTTTCCTGTTTTAGATTCAGCTTCTCTTTACATTTTTGCATTCTCTTAGGCCCGTATCGTCAGTCGTCCCTACAATTATAGGGTGCGTTTATGGCCTCCTTGATTGTCATACTCTTTTCTATCCTTCAAAAATTTCTAGATTACACTCGTCCCGTGTCAGCGTCAGCGTTCTCCTATTGTTAAGATATGTTTTCCTTTTAAATTGTAGGAAATTTCAGGCTGATAAAACATGATATAACTCAAAAGCAAGCACAATTTGATGCAAATAGATGTTTGTGACATAACCTCAAAATAGAGCTCTGACACGGAGAAGTAGAAAACTAGGACAATCAAGGAGGCCATAAACGTGCCCTACAATTGTAGGGACGACTGACGATACGGGCCTTAGAGTTTATACTAATGTGAGTACTTTTGCTGTCACTACTAACTTCTAGATTTTAATATCTGTTTTTTTTATTTTTTTAGTTATACTTAATCGGCTCTTTTATCTTTTGTTGTTTTATGTTTGATTTTTACTAAAGTTGTGCTGTTTCAAGGTTTAAGTGTCTTTAGCTATCGGTTAATGCCCAGCACAAGTTTATCCGTTTGGGGTTTTCCGTTTGTATTGTACAATTGGAATGTACATCTTGTAAATGATTTCTTTTCCCACAAAAAACCACTACTACTCTGCTATAGCGTCTTGTTGATTAGTTACTCTGTTGTAAGCAATTCAATGTACAAAAACTCTCATATTTGACAAGCCACCAGTAAGCTATTATGAAGGATAATAAATTTATAATCTAGGGTTATAAAGTAATGGTAAAGAGTTCCAATATGAGGTAATACATGACTTCTCATTCCATTAAAAAATATTCCAAAATGGCGCCCAGCTGCCATCTTAAAATTTTCATCATTTACTCTAAAAGACGATATCCATGCACCACTGTTATCATCCCGAATTTTAGCTTGCTGGAACCTTTATTGAAAGCACTATATGTACCCAATAACTTGTTTGAAAATTTAGCCGATATACTCGTATGGTATAAAAATACCAGATTCCCGAAGTAGACCATATGAAGGATATGAAAAAATAGAAAAAGAAAACATACCTTCAGCTGAGGGTAATACAATTTTTTCCTGAGTATCGGCATTTTTCAGTTTGCTGGATTTAAATCCTTCCAATTCACTTTTCAGGTCACCTGCTACTTTAGGTAAGTCCTTGAGGGCGGGAGGTGCAGGAGCAGCTGGAACTGGGCAGGACATCTGTAACAAAGTAATGAGAATTAGTTTTGTTTTGTTTTTAAAACTTGCCACGTCGTTTCTATCATGTTTTATGTCATCCTTTAGCTAGCCTTAAAAGCAAATGTTGGAGCATTTTCGTGATTTCAGAGTTCTGAGGTCGGTCTACGCTATCGATTTATGCAGTGCAGTGCAATTTGACCAGAGGCTTTTCAATCGTACTAGTATGACTCTGATGTTGAACATCGAACAGAGTTTTTCAATGTCGTGTATCTAGTTACTTGGTGGTTAACTTTGATTAAATTATGGTATCCTAAAGAAGAGGTATGTATCAATCAATCGTAGTTAAATTAAAAGCGTGTAATTTCGAAATCCAATACTGTGGACCACAATAACAAGGGTGTTAAGTAGACCGAAAATTCCACTGTCGAACCTCACAGAAAGGATTGAACTACGTCGTCCAGCTCCAGATTAATGCCATTAACAAATTGATTAATTAGAGCAATTGATCTAACCACAACAGTGTATATTCTAATGGCAAATGTTAACGAAAAGGTTGTTCTAGTTATTTTCTGCATTATTTAGAAACCTTATCTAAATATCCTTACCATTTCTGTATTTTTTAAAGGTTGTAGTACGTGACACGTGGAAATTTAAAGTAACGTGAATATTTCAGAAGCGTTATACCACACAAGAGATGGAATTCAAGTGGTAATGGTAATGTTCTGTTAATCCAAAATTTACATCTTTACATTCATACCTGTATACATGTCACTATATTGAAGTTTGTAAAAAAAGAGGTTACGTTCAATTTAAATGTCATAAGGGTACGTACTACCTCCTTGACTAGTAGGTACAATAAATGGTTTTGCATTTCAAGTTAATTTAGCCGAATTGATACATTTTTGTTAAGAATTAATATCTTCATCAGACACTTTGGAAAATATATTTTTTACTACTGATACCATATGGACGGATAAAACAGTGTAGAGCGCTTCCAAGTAAATAATTAATGAGTTTATCTAAAGAAATAGGACTGGGACAGGACGACAATTTTTTTTTCAATACTAATATGAGAAATCACTATTATTCACCACATTCCCCTAAGGAGAAGTTACATTTGTCCCCCCTTAGGTAAGCAATGATAATGAAAAACGCCTAAGGTAAATAATGAAGGTGTGCATTCATGTATAACTTTTTACAAGTAAATACAGAGTATACTTTATAACTGAAATTCTTGTTGTTGATTATATTTGTTTATCCCGTTCTTACGACAGCTTTAAAGTCCCATGCTACTTGATAAATTGGAGTATTTGAAAATGAGGGGGAAACAAGCGTCCCTCTCCTATGCACCGTTCTGCGATGCAGATATGTCAGCTTTATTCTTGAAAGTGTTGCCAGAAGTATCAAGAAATTCTGAGATATGCTATATTTTAAAGTATACCCAAATTAAATGCAATACATCATAGTAGTGTGCTTGATCATCATTTGCATTCTTCTCCACCAAGGTATGTAATGTACTATTTTTTCTTAAATTATATGTGCATAGGGAGATCTAGGACGATGTGCCCAGTAGAAGTATAAACATATCAATAGCAGCACCTGCGATAGTGAGTAAGGCAGGAGCATCATTTTGAGTTGAGTTGCTGATTGCTCATTCACTGAGGGTCAATTCTTGAAAACGACGAGCTAGAATACCTTGTAGAATGTGATCTATTACTTTTCTGACAGCTTTCGACGTCTGTTTTGAGATTTGTGTATCCATTTTCAGCAAAATATTAATGTTCCTACGTTCTTCGGCTTTGAAGATTAAACTGACACCTGGGAATCACTCTAGGAGCGACTCTTCTATATGAATTAAGGAGTGCGGCCCCCGAAAGGTAATAGAACAGCTTTAATTTTCTATGTTATTCTACTTGCTCATTTCAAGAGTCCAAAACTCACCAACCTAGAACATTTTGATTCCATTTTCGCTAGATCATCTGAACTCAAACCACTGACGTTTTAAAACATGATGTCATTTTGTGCAAGTTTAATGACTTGATTGTTGTTTAGCTGTTAGTAGCTCTTTTGGCTTAGTCTTTCATGATTAATAAATAGATTCAACGACATTCTACTTAGAATACTGTACCCCACTGTGAAATGACTCTTGTTCTAGGGTCAAAGACCCACACTCCAAAACTCTTGTTGATGGCCCTGTAGCTATTTGATCATTCGCTACACCGCCATCTAGTAGGAGATACTAATCTTTCCAAAATAGATTTCTGACTATCGCGGAGAGGGGAAACATAACTTTGACAAATACTAGATGACGCTACGGTAATTATTTTATTTCATCTTGGATAATTTTTCAGGTAGGATACGTTAATCGTTAATTAATGTTAATACTCATACGGCAAGAATCAAAAGGTTTGATCCTGTATACAAATGTTCATTAGCAGTAATGTACAACGTAAACTGAACATAAGTATGTATACATCATGATGAAATTCTCAGTTCGAATTTATTGCGAACATTATTACTGTACATGTTTATAAATTTTTTTAAATGTGCCGCGACCCCAATGAGATCAGCCACTTTCCATTTTTGGATCAATTTTTCCACGCCTTAGAGTCGCCGGTGATGTTGATGCATGCACTAGATATGGCCAGCGTTGGACATAAAATGGATGATATGCTGGATTTTTATTATTCTTATATCGTTATCTTACAGAATATCTGACTGCTGTCAGTAACCTTAAAATATGAAAGTTTCCAGACTTGTAACGAGGTTTGATTAGAAAAAACAGTGTTTAAAAAATTCACACAAGTTACAAAGTATACTGTAAAATGTCCCGATAAGCAGTATGAAGCAGTAAGAGATAAAGGACCGAAACCTGAGGCAGGTTTTACGAAAAGATTCAAAGTCCAACTCAGTTATGTTCTGAATTTGCACTATTGCGTTTCCAAATATTGATAATAAATATCAGTTACATGTACCTGCACGAAAAAATGGCATCAGGTAGACTGATTAAGTACTTCCAATGTAGTGATATAAATCTAATTTAAGTTTTAGCTACATGAAAATTCAAGGAGATAGTGCAAAGTGGAATATGACTGAACTCATAAAATATGTTTAACTACGTCACCATAAAAACGTGCAAAAAGCTAAAAAAAAAATCGAAAAACCAAGGGTCACTGGACCAATTTTCAAAATCTACAAATATTTTTCGTCTTTGTCACGGTAAAAATCTGTCAAAGTTTCTTCCAAATCTGGGCAGTACTTTCCATGTTATACAGGGTCATGTGTCTTTAGTGACCCAAAAATAAAATCTCGATTTAGAAATGATCAAATTCAGTTACAATACTTCCTCGTTCATTCGAATGGGAGATGAAAAACATGTACATTGAAAAGAAAACGACATTTTCGATTCCTGTTTCTGACGACGCTATGAATTCAAAGAGGTTGCAAGAGAAGTATCTTCCTTAACGTACAAAGTGTACTATAGTCTTGCAATATGACTTAACAAACGGACTCAGGAGGCTGCACGTTACTGCATGTTGAGACATGTCCATGAGTGCATAGAAGCCGCCAGCAGCACGTCTGTTGATTTAGTTGTTCATTCGTATTGACAGTGTAAAGTGCGGATTATGGCATCGTGGTCACGTAGTTAGATAAGGGCAGTTTTACAGGATAACTTTACGCGTGGTTTAAGGATAGACCAGTGCTTAGACGAAATGACACTTGCTTTAAAAAATGATTGTCCTCATCGTACGACTATATTCAGGTGGTACATAGAATTCCAAAGTGACAATTTCTCTCTGGAGGACGCTGAGAGGGAAGGAAGGCCGTGAACGTCAGTAACAGAGAAAAACATTACTGCTGTGAGGAAAATGCTTGACGAAGACCGGAGAGTGACATACCAACAGATAGAGGATACCTTACACCTTCATGCACCAGCCATTCATTTAATTCTGAATGGCCGTAAGGAAACTTTGTTCACTCTGGGTACCGCATAGTCTGACGGAAGAGCAGAAGACTAGTCGTACGACTTGGTGCCGAAAGATGCTGAAAACGTTTGATAAGGGGCAATCTCGGTATGTGAATAGCATCGTGACAGGTGACGAGACTTGGCCCTATTATTACGATGTGCTAATCAAGTCTCAAAACAAAGTTTGGGTCTTTGAAAATGAGGACATACCCGTAGCTGTCAGAAAATCAGATGATACCTGTCTTTTTCAAATCGAGCGGGATTGTGGAGCGTGTCCTTCTGGACACTCAGTCACTGCTTAGTGGTACACGGAACAGTGCCTGCCTAAAGACATAGAGTCTATGAAACCCCTGCCGCCAAAGTCAAGAATGGACACTTGGTACCTCGACCATGGCAACGCTCCAGCCCATCGCGCCAAAGCCTGCACCGAGTATTTGACCACTGCTAAACGGAAACTTATTGAGCACCCTCCTTACAGTCCAGACCTTGTTTCCTGCGGCTTTGCACTGTTTCCGCATGCCCTTAGGACAACGAGTATGCTGCACTCCCGGTTGAAACTTGGCAGAGCTGGTTTAAGGACTGGTTTTGGCGGATGAAAAAGTACATTGAATGTGGTGGAAATTACTTTGAACGAAGTCAATAAATAAAGCTGTATTGAGAAACTTTTATAGTACTCTTTGTACAGCAGAAAATCCTATATAGATAAATGGTACCGCTGAGCATAAGAAATGCTGGATCGCTTATCATAGTTTTACATATAACACACTACAGTGGACTCTTTGTATAGCCAAGGGTCCCGGAAGTATGATGGGCTGGGGTAGTCCAGTATACAAAACGGCCCGCAAAAAAAACTATCCTCGTGTGACAGTTATTTTGTGTTTTTCAGTGCGTATACGAGACAGTTATAGTAAGTTACAAGCCTGATAAGGGAAGATAGTACAATAGGAAGATCAGGGCCTACTTCATGCTCCAGAGAGGGCTCAATTCCCGGGCCAAAACGCAAATTCTGATACGAGGCCTTCGGGCCCTGCCTAACGAAAACGGGCATTATGAT